TCCCCTCCTCCCTATCCCATCATCTCATCTACGCATTGAGACTCTGAAGCTCTGCCTGCCTACCTGGCCCTACGCGTGGAACTGGAAGCATTTCCGAGAATGCTACCATAGAGGTCCTGGATTTCAGTTTCTTTCCTAGCAACCTAAATTTGGCCTCCAGGACATCTCTCCTACCTTTTCCTATGTCATTGGTACCTACATGTACCACGACCACTGGCGGCTCCGCAGCACTAACATAAGTCTATCTAGATGCCTCGAGAGATCTGCTACCTTCGCACCAGGCAGGCAAGTGACCATACGGTTCTCCCGGTCATCACAAACCCAACTATCTATGTTTCTAACGATCGAATCACCCACTACTAACACCTGCCTCTTCCTAACAACCGGCGTTCCCTCACCCTCAGAGGTATCCTCAGTGTGAGAGGATACCGCAACATCCTCTGGAAGGAGGGTCCCAACTACGGGATGGTTTCCCTCTGTTCCCATTGAATGCTCTGTTCCCTTGAGACTTTCATCCTCTTTAAGAGCACTGGGGCTCTCAGACTGGAGGTGGGACAGTATTACAGTGTCCCGGAAAGTCTCATCAACATAGCTCGCTACCGTCTATCTAGATGCCTCGAGAGATCTGCTACCTTCGCACCAGGCAGGCAAGTGACCATACGGTTCTCCCGGTCATCACAAACCCAACTATCTATGTTTCTAACGATCGAATCACCCACTACTAACACCTGCCTCTTCCTAACAACCGGCGTTCCCTCACCCTCAGAGGTATCCTCAGTGTGAGAGGATACCGCAACATCCTCTGGAAGGAGGGTCCCAACTACGGGATGGTTTCCCTCTGTTCCCATTGAATGCTCTGTTCCCTTGAGACTTTCATCCTCTTTAAGAGCACTGGGGCTCTCAGACTGGAGGTGGGACAGTATTACAGTGTCCCGGAAAGTCTCATCAACATAGCTCGCTACCGCCCTTAGCTCCTCCAGTTCAGCCACCCTGGCCTCCAAAGCATGAACTTGGTCTCTGAGGGTCAGGAGCTCCTTGCAACGGGTGCACACATACGCCATGGCAAAAACGTATAGGCGAATGCTATAGACTACACTCATTTTCCTCTCCCCACCCTTTGCCAGTAAATTTTTTAGCAGGCTGGCCAGTAGCTTGGCTCAGTCCTGGCTTGCGCTTACCCCTGCTGTAGCTCTGCGTTTAAATTGTATTAGGAGCTGGGCAGGCAGGCAGCCTGGCTCAGTTATGGCTTGTGCCAGGTCCGGGAGCTCTGACCCCAGGGGCGGACTGGCTAGGATACCAGGAATTTCCTGGTGGGTAGTCCTCCTAAGGGCCGGATGGTGGCTGCTGAAGGAGGAGGGGGATTTGTGACGGGGAGCCGCAGCCCTGCACTTTAAATTCCCCAACACTGTGCGCCAGCCATGTACATGGCACTGTGAGGCTGAGGGAGCGCATGCATGGCGTGCTCAAACGCTGCGCAACAGGTGAGAGGGGGGACGCCCGGGCGTGATGTGATGTCACGGCCCAGGACTTTAAAACCGCCCGGCCCAGCGTTGCACCGCGCTGCCCAGCTCCAGGTCTGGCATGTGGTCTGGTCTGGAGCCCCGGAAGCATTTTGATTGCCAGTCTAGACTCCAGCTCCGCAAACTGGAAAGCAGAAGCCAGATAGGGGAGGGGAAAGGGGAAAAATAGGGGAAAGAGGTGGGAGAGGAAGGAGCTTGTGCTAGGAGATGAAAATGCCCTGGTGTTTGGGCTCCCCCTGGAGCGAGCACCCCAAACCTGAGGAAGCTGTACAAGCTGCATTTGTGCGCACACCCTCCCCAGACAAAAAAAGGGGGGGCAAAAAACCTAGAGCTGGCCCTGCACACAGAGAAAGGGGGAGGGGCACGCAGGAGTGATGTCAAAAGGGGAAGGCCCATTCTCAACCCATTTCCTGGGCCTGTTTTGATTGCCAGTAAGCCCGTCTGACTCCTTCCCTGCCCCCTCCTTCCCAACAGCCACCTGGCACTCCTGCCTGTTTGTTAGAGGCAGCAGCACAGGATGGCAGGCAGCTGATCTGTGTGTGAAGCTGTTTTTTAAACTGGCTCCCCTCGTGGACCAGCTCCTCCCTGGCACCACCTGTGCTGCTGACTCTGTGTCAGAGGCAACAATGCGGAGTGGCAGGGGGCTCTTCGGGAGTGAGGCCAGAGTGCACTGGCTGCCAGCTCCACCTCCTGCGGCCTGTAGAATAGTCGACTAACCAATAAGAATTCATTAAGGGTTACTTAACTATTCAATTAACTGATATTTAACATCCCTACTCCTGATTTTACAAAATTGAAGTAGCATATCCCCACTAAATTTTGTTGTAACTGCATGTCATCGTAACAGATTTTTTATTATTCTCTTGCCCCCAAAGTATTCTTTGTACCTTAAAAAATAAAAAATAACACATCGTTAGCTACCCAAAGTATTTTATTTCCACCACTGTTAAAAATCATACATAAGACATTGCTTCCCAAAATATTTTACTTCCTTCACTTCCATCTTTTAGCCATTGTATTTGGTGGAAGTGACTAGACACAGTTACCCATGTCCAATTTAAAGAGCTAATAGCACAGTATTTGGCTAAGCAAGGACATTCCCACCAAATCCTAGTCTGTGTACCAATGGTTAGGAACCACTGCTCTGATGGGCAACCAATACTAGTGAGTGGTCTGCATGAGTGGCCCTCCATTTCAGTGGGTTGTAAGATTGACATCTAGTGGTGGGCAACGTGCAGCTTATTGGGGTTCCAGCTGCAGCCTGTGGCTCTCTGTCCCCTTCCGCCATGTTCTCCCACACTGGAGCCCCACACTTACCTACTCCCCCTCCCTCTCAGTGCTTTTGGAGCACAATGAATCACCTGATTCATGCCCCATTCCCACTTTTCCAACTCCCTTCCAGATCTTGAACAGCTTCAAGTCAGCCAATTCAGAGTGCTCTGAAAGTGCTGGAAGGGAGGAGGAGGAGTAGGTAGGTGCCGCGCTCCAGTGTCCTGGTGCACAAGAGGTTTGGGAAAAAAAGGGGAAAGGGAGCTACAGGTGGAACACCAATGGACTATATGTGTCCTGTAGGTTGCCCATCACAGCTCTAAACACAAGAATCAAGAAATCCA